AAGAAAGCAAAAGGTCATTAAAAAGACAGGAAAGGAAAAAGACCAAAGTGGGTGCAAAAAGAAACTCTGGAACTTGCTCTTGAACATATAGTAGCTAAAGCTAATTACAGAAATTATGAAGTTTTACAGCTGAACAGAAAATTTCAAAGGACAGCTCAAGAAGACAAAGTATTATAATAAAATGTTAAAAGATGTGGGATTAGAAAATCAAAGGGATGCTTAACATTCACCAAACTGAAAGAATTGAAGAAATAATTCAAGCATTGATTTGAGATATTGAAAGATTCTATGGGCAAAATATTGAATGATATAGATAGCATCAAAAGACAATGGCAACGATACACAGAATAATTGTATCAAAAAGAATTAGTCTATGGTCAGCCATTTCAGGCAGGAGCATATGATCAAGAACCATTGCTATTCAGTCCAACTGACTACTACAAGAACAAGCAAGTTGTTTGCCCAGGAGCCATCAAGGCAAGTGGTCAGGTCCCTCAGGGCAAACCTCCTTCCAAGACTAAGACTCAAGGAGAATACACGAGCAGGCATGTGGTCTGACTGGTGACCACGTTGGTCACCGATAACAGGAAATGGGGAAAAAACAGCAATGAAGCTGTGAGCTAAGTCCAACCATGTTCAATAGACTCCTGTGAACCCGGGTTGAGACCTGGTTGGGCAGCAGTGTAGCAAGACCTGAGGACTTCTAGGACTGGAGCGGAGAGTGAAGCATCCAGCTGATATGAAGTGAGGGGAAATGGACAAGAACACCCATACTTGCAGATAGTACCCACTTGACCTGGTTTCAATGGCTGAATGATCAGAACTCTACTAGAAGAAGAAAGAGGAGGACAAAAGAGTAATCTGATACAATCTGATGAACTTGACCTATACTTATGGATGTAGTAGCTCAAAATAGAGAACAAATCTTTACAGCAAGGATCATTCCCACCCCCTCAGTACCCAGGATAGACAGGAATGGTCAACTTAGACATTGACTACCCAAAATGGGGGCACTGCAAAGGCAAGAAGTGACTGGCTTACAAGCTTTCAAGAGGGAGCCTAGATCCAGAGGGTGCAGAGGAAGGTAGAATCTCCACTGAATAGTATCCAATCTGTCTGGACAGGGCTAGAGATGGGGATAAGACTCTTGTGGCACAATAGTGAATAATTGCTATCAGGATTGAATATAAGAGTTGGAAATATAAAGGTAGATGTTCTGTAACAAAAGGAGGGAGTGCTTGATTTTGCAGTCCAGGAGCGGAGCCCCTGGGACCACCAAGGGAGAAGAGCAGAGTGTGGGACTCTACCCAGAGAAGAACTGACGCCAGAGATGGAGGCAGAGATGATGATGTGGAGAGTTGGAGCAGCTGGGGACTCTAGACCCGGAGAGGGAGAGGGACTGTGTACTGACAACCAGGGGCCAGCTTGCAGGTGTACACTCTGTTTGTTTAATGATGCATGGAGGGGATTGTAATCATGTCAATGAAATGAAATACAATAGGATGAATGTAAAGCTAATATTCTTCCATGTAAATTATCACATAATTCACAATAAAAACTTAAAAAAAAAAAAAAGAACCAATGCCATTGAAGGAAGAAGTATAAGTTGCACTGAACTATATCATTAATACATGCAAGTAAAATTTTGCTAAAAATAATTCAAAAATTGTTCTAGCAGTACATCAAAAGGAAGCTGCCAGAAATTCAAACTAGCTTCAAAAAAAGATATGCATGAGGTATGCCCTGGGTGAAGTCAGGTATGTTTTTGGCTGAAAGCAGAGAATACCAGACAGATGTTCAGTTGTATTTTATAGACTATGCAAAGGCATTAGACTATGTGAATCATAACAAGCTATGGATAACACTGCAAATAATGGGAATTTCAGAATGCTTGTTGTGTTTATGTGGAACCTGTATATAGACCAAGAGGCAGTTGTTTACACAGAACAAGGGGATACTGCATAGCTTAAAATATGGAAAGATTTACATTAGGGTTGTATCCTTTCATCATACCATTTAATCTGTATGTGGAACAAATAATCTTCTCATTGGACTATATGAAGAAGAATGTGGCTTCAGGATTGGAGGAAGGTTTAAATAACCTGTGATTTGCAGATGACACAACCTTG